AGTTGATCTGGTTTCATTTTCTTATTTATTTTTTACTTCATTATACTCATATTAATAATTCAAATTAATTATTTATACAATACACTCAATCTACTTTAAAACTAAAATCATGTTAATACTAGTTTATATCATTTGTTATTTTAATATTATTAATTAGTATAATCTCTTTGAGTTAGTATTTAAGTATATAAATTCATTTTTATGGTTATTCTCGTTGTAACAACAACTTTTATTTCTTGCCATTCATATTATTTGTTTGTGAAATACTTTTGTTATTGAAGTATTATTAAAATAACTGTCTAGTGTAAAATACAAAATAAATAATAAATAAAACAATAAACGATTAAAATACCATGTATGATATGTATTAATTTCAAATTCAAAACAAATTGAATATGATAATAAAAGTCATTCAGTTTTGTAAGTTTTATTCAAATAAGCATATTTATTTGTTTGTTGTTACAAATTATTTAGGATATAGCAATATGGTTATAACACCTTAACAGAACTAATTTATTTCAACAATAATTTATTATTTAGTATTAAATTTAATTCATTGATATTTGTTTACTAAGTTTATATTTCAGTTGAGTTATTCTAAAAAACTAATCAAAACAAGATAATTATCAATATTTAAATAAGTCTTTGTTATATTCAAAATTAAATACAACAATTTGTTTTTCTTCATCCAGTTTAATTAATTTGTTAATAAAAGAAAACAACAATAGTAGAATTAAATTATCTTTTATTCAATTCAAAACATTTTATTTTAAATGACTCTTCTTTGCCATTTCTGTTTTCAACATAATTATTCTTCAAATAAAACATAGTTATTCAAAATTATTTATTGAGTCTCTGACTCAAGTTCTTTTTCCAACTCTTTATGATCTGTTTTTGGGAGTTGTGGTATTGATTGATCAGACAGACTGAAAATAGAAAGAAGTGTTGTTATTACATTCGACAAACTTTGAACTTCCTCGTAAATTGTATTTTGATTCTGTTGTAAAGTCGTGAATGCTTTTTCCAATGAAGTAATTGATTCTTGAAGTGTCTTTAATGTTTTATTCACTTCATATTCTTGTGAAGTACAATCATCCATTCCATCATCAAATATGATATGTGTTGTTGATTGAACTTGTTTTTGAACACCAGAATTTGAAAGTTTATCACCATTATCTATTTCAGTTTTTTGATCCATGTCAATAGTTTTATCATCATTCGAACAAACATTGTTTTTGTTATCATTTTCGTTTATTAAAACTTCTTTCTTCTCAGTCAATTGTTGTGTTTTTTCTTGTTCTTCATCTCTGTTTTTGTTCATAATCTTTCTTTTTAGAGCATCAATTGCTAAACCTCCTCCTTTACTATTAGTCAAATATCTTCTCTCAATAAACAATGTTTTTGAGTCTCTTGATAATGAAGAAGAAAGAGATGGAAGTAACTCTTCTGTTTGTTCAAGAGAATTTGGTGATATTTTAAAAACTTCACTGTTGTTTTTCATTGGCTTATATTCATTTCCTTTTCTTTGTCGTTTAACTTTTTTTCTTTTGATTGTTTTAATACAAGAGAAGTTTGTTGGGTCAAATGATTCATGAACAAAACAGTCTTGACCATCAATAACTTTTTTATGAAAGTCATATCCATTCAATTGTCTAATAAAACTTTCTTGTTTAACATTTGGGAAGTGTTTTGGTAAAATATAATCAACGAACAATTGTTTGTCATACAAAAAGAATCCATGATTCTCCTTATTATACTCAACTATCTTTTTTGATTCTTTATCATTTAACATCTCAAATAGTTTGACTAGAAATGGAGAGAATTCTTGTGGAAATCCACTGATATGGTTATCTTTATTCTCCATGTTTAAACATTCTTAGTTTCTTTCTCAGAATGGATTAGATACCATTATCCAGTACTTGTTTCAATATAAATGCATTTAATTAATTTTCACTTAAAATATATCTTTTTGTTTCGTTCAATATAATTTCCATTTTATATCATTAAGAGTTATTTTCATAGACTTTATTGTTGAACAAAAAAAAGAAATGTGGTATAAAAAGAATTTATATAACTAATAGAGTTGTTATTCAATATTTAAATTAACTTAAGATATGTTTGAATTTCTCTATACGTTCTATCAAAGTATTGAAAACGTCTAAATAGGTTTAAATTTTCTTTCAAATCAATTTTATAAGAAGTGATTGAAGATTGTACTCGTTGTTCTGTGAAACTTTCTCCAAACAATAAACATAGATTCTATATGAAAATAAATACATTTGACAATAATTGATATTTTATTATAAAAGAAAAATACAAACAATTTGAACTATTGGAATAAATTCTTTAAGAAAGAAATAAACACAGGAAGATGATAATAACTTAAAATCAAACATACTAAACCTTGGAAGAAAACTAATTAAAATGATCATTAATTCTGCATTTCTCTTGATACAATCACCAACAAACACTGATGAATTATTATATTGAACAAATGATGAACAATAAGAGATACAAAAATCAATTGGATTTCCAGATTGATGCAGATAAGAAATGTATTTTTTAATTGAATTACAAACACTCTTGATTTCATTTGATGTAAATCTGTTATGACAAATTTGAAACAATTGTATAGGAGTTATTGTGAGTTTATTTTCAGAAACAACAATAAAACTACACATCATAATCAAATCTCTTGAAATGGTTAATTTGTTAAGTACATTATCAAAAAGTATTATAGCATCTAGAGCAACAATCTTATCCAATCTATATCTTTCAGTGATTGCATATATCCAGTTAACTAAATCACATCTAGCTTTCACATCTTCAGGAAGAGGTTTTGGTTGAATACAAACATCTACTAAATCCTGAATATCACTACTACTTTTTTTATCTTCTGATGATTGATGTGGTGTATCTTTAACTATTTCACTACTCATATAATCTAAAATGATTGTACAGATCCTTGTTATCCATTCTTTGTTTCTAATTTAAAAATAGCTATCACAAAAATTATAATCCAATGAACAATGACAAAAAATACAATCTGTTAAGTTATATTTTTATTTTTCGAAAATCAAAAAAATATGAAACAGAATGATTTGAGTTAATCAAATGAAACTCAAAATTACATGAAAAAGATACGCTGAAAATGGAACAAAGAAAAAAAGAACAATACGTGGCAAATAGAATAAGAAAAATGGGAGAATG